AGGTTTCCAGGCTAGCATTCTCATGTGCATACCACATCTTAGACATACCGAGGATGACACAACTCTGTTTTGTGAAATTGTCAGCATGCACAGGTCTCAGTCATATACTATATGGAAGTGCTATGCAGCTTTTTCTAGCAGGAAAATATCTTTTAAGTTTGATGTGTTTGAAGAGTCCTAATTTGAATAGCAGTTTTGGCCTTTGATCCTTAACTGGGACAGTATCTTAAAGTGGTAGCCAGCAAAATGTGAGCTTTTATTATTTTGGTCTTACTACTGATGTATTTAACTGTAATCTACAGTTGTGATGGACTTGCATGGTGTGGGATGATTAGTGAATGGAGATTAATTCATGGTCATATCCATGGCAGGACAGGAAGTGACCCTTGGCATATTCAAGCATGGATAAAAGGAAATGGAAAGCACTGGATGTGTATAGTGCATATTTTATAAATGCTATCAATTTTGTATCTTAAATCTAACATTTGCATAACAAACCCTTGGTTCAGTGAAGTTTTGTGACCAAAATGTTTTGTATTGACACTTTAAAAACAACACCAAAACAGAGGCATTTATGCATACAAGCATTTTTGGTAATTTAGCATTATAGCTGAATATGATTCCATTTGCCCCATTTGTCCATTTGACAGTTGTACATTACTTGTGTTTGCATATGTACTATGCTTCAGTGTGAAAATATGGTTTGTCTGTGTGCAAACTCCCAGTTCCAAAAATAAACACGCTCTTTCTATTCCCACCCCCATCTCCCTGTCTCCATATTCCTAAGTCTCCATTTCATGGTGGGCTCTATCTCCATCCTTCCTAAGCGCTTATCCTTCTCTGTTCTCCGTTTGACACCTCTCCTCTCCTCTCCTCCACCTGGCCTCCCTGAATGCGCTGGGGGATTGATAGTTGTGCCTCTGTGTCGGATTTGGAATAGAGGGAGCTTGAAATACCTCACCTCCCTGCTTCTACTGGCCAATTATCCCCTTCTCTACTGGGCTGAAAGGACCTAGTGTTATAGATAACCTTCCAGTGATAAAGGGAGAGAGTGCTCTCTCTTCTCCCATTGTCATTTACTTGTTTCTTTGTATTATCAATTTCTCATGTCCTCTGTCCTCGCCGTTCCCCTTCTTTCATCTCCTCTAGTTGTCTCTCCTTGTCTTTCTTCCTCTCCATCATATTCTCAATAATCCTCTTCTCCTGCTATACAGCAACAACAATAGCCTGAATCCTCACCATTGAACTGTGAGCAGGACGTTTTCAGTACTTTTATTTACCTAGGAAAAGTTAGCTGAGC